AATATTAAGTTGGATATATATGCGTGCAGTGATATGGATGTGGATGGCTTCTCTCATATATATGGGCATTGGATGTTTAGTGAGGAAAATAAGGCGGTTGCAACACGTTAGCTGGGCCCCTCTTATAATGGCAGAGAACCTTCCGGCTCCGCCACGCCGACCTAATGCTTTGTTCCTGCCTCCCTCTGTTCTTTATCTTAAAAGGCATGGTAGAATAAAATTGCTATCACCAGCTAAAGCTTACTGTGATGAGGGAGATAGAAGAGAATCAATGAACCGCCCTCTTTCCCTATCCGTCCCTATCCTTTGGGCTTTGGATACATACATACATGTGCATGTGTGTGTCTCAGCTGAAGCTCAGAAAGTTGACCCCTTTCTCTTCTTTGCTTTTATAATGGAAAAGTTGATTGCATTTTCTGTTAATTAGTTGAAGTGTTTTGTTTCAGCTGTGACTGGAAATAATAATGCTTATGATTTATGGACAGCCTTTTCCACTGAGAGACATTATTATGGCTAGTTATTATAACAACTAACAGACAGATATATTGAAAGTTTTAATGATCTGGGGTTTGTTTCCGGAAGTTCTTGAACAGGATCTATATAAATATATATATGTCATTGATTAGCGGATAATAACGTTTGTTTGAGGCATGTACATAAAACAAAAATCCCCAAGCATGTCACGGTACAAATCAATATTGTCCATCTCCTTCGACCTTCCAAAATTTGACAGCAGCTTGTTGGGACCATATTATCTAAGAACCCTCGCACACACACATAATAAATCATCACCACATGAGCTCCCCTCTTTCATTGTTGGGATAACACATGACCTGAAGGACATCCCATGAGCTCATATACTCCTCCGGTTCTTAATATAAGACCCATTTAACTAATTTGATTAGATCAACGAAGTTAGGTAAGTTAGTTAATTATAATAAATGTGACACATTTTTCTTAATACCCCCTCTTCCTCTTCTACTTGATTATGGTTGAAGGAGTATCTATAGGGGTAATTTAGAAAAAATTAAAAAATATGATAAATAGGTCTTATATTTAGGACCAAAACCAACTCAATAACGGGGTCCTATATTAAGGACCGGAAGAGTATTATATTATACATCATTAAGAACAATTCTTTTCTAGGCCATCATTAGGGCAGAAAGTGGGTTAGATGGCTCTGGATTTTCAAGAACAATGACACCTACTTGGAAGATCAGAGGGAACAGAAAGTGAGAGATTCACAGCAGAAAGTAATAGAAGACAGGAAAAAAGGAATTAGGATTTGGATATATTTTAAAAGGTGATCGAGAATATATATATATATATATTTATAGTCCAGCAATAATGTATATTTGAAGAGAACGGAAGTATGATTGCGCCTTTTTATGCGGAATTTCGCAACATTCGGATGGGGATCTGGTGTGAAAAGGAAGCTTTTTTTTGGGGGGGTTCGTCGGTGTGAAAAGCAAGTTAAGTGAAGTGCTATGCAAGTCTTAATTGCACAGAAGAAATTTGATACAAAAGTGAACTGACTACTCTACGCAATGACGCATTAAGGGTCGTGAAGCATCTCATCTTTATCACTTCCTTTCCATATTGCTTTCTTTTCTCATTTTTTGACACTTGACACCCCACCTAACCCCTCTCTCTCCCCACATCTCAACGGCTCTTTTTCTTGCTTATTCTCTAGCAGAAAATTCAGGGTCTACATTAAAACGTAAGCAACGTCCGGGCTGTCAGGGGCATATGAGATCCGGAGAGGAATAATTAAATTAAAAAAAGCGAAACCGTATTGTAATAAATCGTGGCACATATGGTGTAATATTAGGGGGAAAGAGGCCTGGTGGTATTTCTTAAAGATGGGGGGCCTAGCTAGCTGGCAAAGTCTGAATTCTCAAAACCTAAGCCTGAAAATTTGGTTTGCTCTACTGTCAATAGTAGGAGCCGGCCGACAAATAGCAAGTCCAACGAAACACACCGGATTATTGAACTGCGGGTGGAAAAATCCTGTGGCTATAGAATATTGATCGAAGATGATGCTTTAATGACCGCACACTTCAATTCCTCTAAACGATAGCAAACAAACGAAAAACTGATTTGACATTTTGGTCCACAAGGCATTAATTTAGGTGATGGGACGGAGAGGGTGTAATATTTAAATGGGCACAGTACTATTAAAGCCTCCATGCCTATTCACTTAAAGCCAATAAAAATATTATAGCCAATACCTAATTGATCTTTTTATTAATTCACCTTTAAGCCACCAATAATTCAGGCGTGGCTTCATGCTCTTGCACTTGCACTTGCACTTGCGCTTGCACTGACATTGAGGATGATTCTTATCCCGAGGGGTTTTCCTCTTTTTTAGGTGATTGGTTTCATCATATTCGACTCATAAGGGTCCCTACAAGATCCACCTCGAACCACCCAAAATTCCTCAATTTAACCTTAACTTCCCACATTTTTCACCTACCCTTATGATTTTAGTTTGCAGCTTTGCATCCCGTAAAAAACGACGGCTTTTAAGCAGTTTTTTTTTTTTACCCTCTTCTTTGAAAGGGAGGAAATTTTTGTGTACTATATAACGACCAATCAATCGTTTGATGGAAATAAGCATTTTTAAAATTATCTTGTTTAGCTTATGTGGTTTCTTAACCTCTTGGAAGTTACGGCAAACAAACCAAAGTTTGGAGCATCAAATACCATATGGTGACGACGACCACGGGGACAGCCACGCAGGTGGTGGTTTACCCTTTTTCCCTTTGGGTATATTTCCTTTTCTTATATATATGTGTGTGTGTGTGTGTGTTGAGCGTAAAAAGACTGGATTTCTTTATGCTGGTTAGTTTTCTTTGCACAGGATGCCAAAGTAAAAGGAGACACAGATGGAAAAGTAGAAGCCAATAAGGCTCCGAGGCCCAAGAGATAAGTCTGTTTAGCTGCATGGAGATGATAAATAGATTCTTTATATATATATATAGGAATAAAATATAAAGTATTTATCATGTTATTCTTATTCATACTGAAGGGAAAGGGGAGAAAAATCCAGGATTCAGAAGGTGCAAAGAAACTTGGCTAAAAGCCAAAAGGTGAGAAGAATCAAGCAGCCGACCAGAAAAGAAAGGGGGAGGGCGATTTCTTTTCAATTTTATTGTCTTCATTATTCGATACAGCAATGATTTTTAGTATACAAAATTTGATGAGCTGCATAAGCAATCTTCGAGAGCATCTTGACCTACTAGCACCAGACAAAAACATGATGAATTTTGATTCGAACAAAAGAATACAATTCATCATTATATGACCCTGTTTCAGATAAAAAGCGTCCTCTTATAATAAAGGAAATATCAGCTTTATTTATTCATGTTTCTGTCGTTTTAAAATCTTGAGTTTTCAAGATTTAATTAAATTAGACTCCATACTCCTCTTGTTTTAATATTTGTCTACTTTGATATTTCAAATATATCATAATTTTTTCTCGTTTCATTTTTGTCAATAAAATTAACATAACTCTAACGTAACCATTAATACAGAATAAAGACTATAAGCTAATTTTATTTTTTCAAAAGATACATATAGTTAAAATTAAAAGTTAACTCCATATATAGACTAAATAAAATAAAAAGTTTTAGTGTAAGTGAAATTGTAATTTATTCTTATTTTTTAAAACCTAAATTTGTCGGCTCTTGGATAGTCAAAACAAATTTCTTTAGCTTACATTGTAATTCAATAATTTTTAACCTATAAATTAATTACAAATTTGCAAGCAATTTACACATAAATAAAAATGAACGAGTTATAGAAGAGACACTTTATCCAAATGTATTATGAAATCATCGAAATATGAAACTTGTTCTAATTTAGAATAACCGTAAAAATATTCGAATATTTCGGAGTTCCAGGAAAGATACCGGGTATTATCTAAAAAGAAGCATAGCAAACAAATGCACTGATAAGCAATAAATTAACTCTCTGGGTCCCCCCACTTCTGGTTTATCATTGCTTCTTCCATAAAGGTTATTAATTAGAAATAAATGTCAAACGCATGTATATACGTGATGCAGACAGGGCTTTTACGGGTTTAAAATGTATATTAATCAGATTGAGCTAAACACATAACTAAAAAGAACCTTTAAGGGAAAAAAAACACAGAGGTCAGGTAGAACAGCTCTGCCTACTAAACCTAACATTATTAGCAGGATAGAGGCCTTCCTAATATTTACTTAGCCATGTTCACTTGCTAATCACAATACTAACATGTAGAAATTAACAGCCAACAATCTAATCACAAGCTTCAACTACTATTAGAATTAAAATCATGATAAACTCAGGTTAGATTCACAACCAAGGGGGAACTCAATCTCATAATTAGCTGCGTCGATTACTTTTCTGTGAAACAAAGGAATCAGCAAGGTGCATTTACTTACAAGCAATTCATGTGCCTACAAAGTAATGAGTTTGAACATCGAGGTGCTCAACACTGTGACCCCATTACGCCCATCTTCACGTCCAGAGAAAAGTTATAGCACGTGTTATCATGTGCCACGAGTATTAGCAGGAACTTCAAATCATCTTCATGTGCAAGAGTTATTGGGAACGTCGATGTCTGCTCAACCTCAGATTCGATTAACCGAATCTCACCCGATAAACATCGAGTTTGTAAGCTTTTTCAACGCTGATTACCAAGATCTTCAAGTACAGTGAATTAATTCAGACGTGAGAAGAGGAGAGAATATGCAGGAATAGGACATTCCACAGCCCAGAGGGCTGATACATTAGCTGTTTTATTAACTCCTCAATACATGGCTACATGCCTCGCTATCAGGAACGAAATATGCACGCTATGGGATACTGTCATGTGTTCTGTATGAATCATATAAATTATAATGATCCGGTGAGAATGCCAATTACCGTACTTCACCTGTAACATCATCTTCCTAGACTGGTATGCCTTGAAGCAGTTATAAAATGAAAAATACACATACTCCTCGGGTCCTGCATTATAAATAAGTCTTATATTTAGGACCAGAAGAGTATCATGCATGTTAACGAGGGTGGCTCCTTGAAGCAGTTCTGAGGAAGAGTGTTGAGAAAACCTTAATACATGGAGTAAATACAAAGAGGGTATGAAGAAGTTCTTTAAGTTACAGTAATAAAAAATGACAGACAAAGATTTGCATTTTCATATAGCCCTAGATAACATACCAAGGAGTACACGAGCTTCATAACCTTGAGATTAAAACACACAGAGCATAATGATTATCAAAATCACACACTCATCTATCAATGTCCAAGCTACAGGGGAAAACAAAAGGAAATGGGTAAATGATTCAGTCAGATACAAGTTTCAAGATTCCCACAACCCCAAATTTTCAATTCATTTATCCATTTACAGATTTAAGGATAATGGGACCAAACTACCTTGCATTATCATTCTGGCCAACTACACCATTTCTCCCCTTCTTTCGCTCAAAAGACATCAAGACGTTGCTAAACAGGTTAGCCAGGATTTTTCAAGTCTACAGACAAAGAATGTGCAGTTTCATAGTAAAGGACCATTATCTCCTCAATCAATGCAGCTAAACCTTTAGGATAGACCACTATCAATTACTTCATCTTCAAACCTATAAAATGTGCTTTCATGTGACAGTCAGACTAATCCATATAGTCACATGGATTTTAAGTACCAAGCAATTAAAAAGTCTTGATCGCCCGATGTTGACCTTGTCTCCAACTAACAACACAAAGTAGTTTATCTCTTATGCACAGAAAAAATTGCCAAATCGTCAAAACTCGAGACTAAAGATGCTAACCCAACATGAACTTATATGCGTACCAAAACTGTGATTTATTTCATTTTCGGAAAAAAATACATTTGGAATTCATCAACCATGGTTCTCCTTTGCTTTTTTTTTTTCCTTTAGTTTCTTGTTTACTAAATATATACTATCAATATTGGGCAACAAAACCGGATTGAACAGTTATCTGTTTTTTGGAGAAAAAGTCTTTGTTTAAACAGAAATCCATTAATAGTTTAACGTACTAACAACTAGAGCATTTAATCATGAACCTGTTTTACAATCCTAATCTTCCCATCTCACCTGAGCATCATGACATTTATTAGTATGTTAAACCCTGAAAAAGCCCTCTCTCAACCAGGCTATTGATATGCTCTGTTTTTTCCCCCGGGAAGTCTGAGATATGCTCTGTCTTGATCAACCTAAATCATCATAACTCAGCCAAGGAGCGACAGATTGCAGTGAGCCAGTGCCTTCAGTCAATTGTCTAGGCAGTACATGCAAAGCTGGCGCTGATAGCATCAACACCATTTTGAGTTTCTATAGGCCATAGTTCAATTCGTTAAATCATGCAGAGCTAGCAAGGAAAGAAATTTCGCTTTCAGAGATATTTATATTGTAAGAAGATGACCCGGGCAACTGAAGATTAAGACATAGCAGTTCTTAACAAGGAATGCTAACAGCTAAACTATTGGTGATTTAGAGATTTTAAAACATGCTAGCGCTAGATCCAAATTAGAAAAGCAGGAAACGTTAATGACATTAACAAATGTAGAAATTACTATGTAGTATAATGGATTTTATCTAATTAACATATCATCAATTCTAAGAATCTAACAGCATCTTAAGATCTAAAAGAAAAAATCTACAAAACATGGCATGAACTTGGAGCATGGCACATGTGGCGTATGTCAACTACCTATTGAAAATAAGTAAACAACACTAATAGAACAATTAGATTGGCGCTTCACCAATGCTTAGTAAGTTGACAAAATAAGTGCCAGAAGTCTAATCAATAGACTGGAAGAGAAATAATCATTACCGTCTAGCTTAAATGATAACAAACCCACATTTTCCATCAGTTTAGTTCATCTAACTTATCTATTGAAGCAAAAAAAATCATGATCAAATAACTAGAGGACAGAATGGATCTCATGTCAACATGAGACATCAACTTTTCCTGTCGCAACACAGATCCAATACTAATACAACCAGAAGTATGAAGATTGCTTATCTAAAAATTTAAAAACAGAGAAGAAAGAAAATTGTAACTCAGAATCCAATTGATCACAAAGCAGATGCAATCGCGTTTTTCTTACCATGATCGTGACATCTAGATAGACGGGATATTGATACCTGCAATTCAAGTATCAAGTCCCTCATTTTCATTTTCATTTTAAAACGTAACAGATAAAATGTTGCATGCATCCTCCTGTTTAGTAAAAGGGGTGGATGTTAGAATGCACCTTTCTATCCTTCTCAATAAGAGCAAACACTTGATGTCAGGTCCTCAATAATAACAAAAGCAAACACCAGAAGAGAGGGACCACACATCCTCTAGCAGTATTTAGTATAGTGGTGAGAAGGAAATATGAAGGCATGAGGGCAAACTAAACTAGTTCAACACATAAGGGCGTATTCGGTAATATTCAGAAGATGCTGCTTACAACGGTTGCCAAAGTAGTGGCAAGACAAGTGAGTACGTATGATTCAGAAAAAGTCCCTGGTTCACTCGATTCGCCAAGAGTCCACAGAAACAGCAAACTTGAGTTGATAATGCAAGTTAGGTAAGTGGTATATGCAACCCAAGGGGCAGAAGATTTAGCGTAAACTGCGCATGCCACAAAATGCAGAGACACAAAATCAGCATTGCAAAGGAAAATTTCATTCCTTCGATCAGAATAATTAAAACGATGGACAATGTAGTTTAACAACGCGCTTGTGCGCAATACTCAAAGACTAAAGCAAGGCCTGGAAGGACCCAATGACGTGGCGGTCCCGTTACGGAAGAAAACCTAACGCTTACTCGGGCGAAGTCAATCCAGGACCGATGCTCCTCCCTCTGCTCAATATACCATGCTAAATCTAATCGAGCCAACACTGTGATCTCCAATCTAACCAACCCACAGTGCCCTTGGCTAAATCATTAGCTACATGCCCCTGATTTTCTCCCCAAAAAGGTGCGAGGCGAGTCCGTTATTCAGAGCGTTCCAAACCTCCGAAAAGAAGGCATCGTAAGAGACGGGCAGTGGTCGGAGTTTCTGATGATTCCGATTAGCGTTTAGTGAGGTGACAGAGGCCGAGGCGACTCGGAAGGCAGGGAAACAAGGTTGACCGTTGACGAACGGTCGGACAAAAGGAAATTTGGAATTCTTCACCCTAATCCTCTTTCTTTTTGTTTTTTTTTTGGCCGTTTGGGCGGGCGCGGGAGGTTATACTATTTAATGCTTTTCCCCACATCTTTGCTACCTAGATTTATTACTCAAATTGGCGCGCATGATTTTTTATGATGACGGTTGATCCTAATGTGTATAATGTTATTCTTTCCTCTTTTTTTTTTCCCAATTGAAACGGAATGTAAATTAAATGATAATATACGTTCTCAAAACGTTTTTAATTTATATGAATGGAATGCGAGTGAATAGGGTAAGAAATACACAATCGTATATATCTACAAGCATGTACGCTTCGGAAGGAAAAAGGGTAACATTGATTAAATAATTAATGAATTAGACTAAGACAAAAGCAGGAGATATGAACATATGCACAGGAAATTACACGTAGTGATCAATAATGCAGAACCGTGAGGCATCGAACATGATTTCCTTCGTCATTGAAGGTGGCGTTACCAGTATTATTCACAAACTGAACTTTCAAATCTCTGCATTCGGCTGCAATCGTTTGCTTGAGCGACCATGCGAACAAAGCGGACTCGTAAGTGTGGGTGGCTTTCGCGGTTAATACCAACGAAAACTTAAGCCAGCCGGTGCCTCGATCCTTGGCCATCGCATCCACCGTCGAATTCGGTAGCTGCGGCTGAACCCCAGGATTATAAGCGGCGCTCATTTCCAATTGTTGGATTTGGTCTTCTCCCACTTCCAATGACTTCCCCTGGCTCTGAATTAGCTCCTCATCATTGTAAAGAACGTGCACCATAAAATCGGTGTAACTGACGTTGGTATCGGAACTCGGGTTGGTTACGTTGATCTTGGTGTCCCAAATGCATGTCAATGCCGAATTTGAGGTACTGAAATTGGAGACCGAAAAGGAGTCTACTGTGTAAAAGGGATCATTGTCGTAACTAGAGGAGGCTAGAATGACCAGAACAAAATACCACAAAATGAGCATTAAGATGAACAAGATAAAGGTACGAAAGCAGGTAGCGCCGGAGCGGTGATGAGGTCCTGCATAGGGCGGGGTGTTGTACATAGGAGGCGGTGCTTGAGCGGCGTAAGGAGGGTACCTACCGTCGGGTGGGGGGTAACCATAGGGGACTTGCCCGGCTGGGTAACCCATCGGAGGCGGGTAGTACGTCACCTGCGGTGGCGGGTAAGGGGACTGGGGGCCATACGGCGATGGAAACTGCGCCGACGGCTGAGACTCTTTCTTTGGGTCTGGGGGATCTCCTTCATGGCTTGTTGAAGCCATGACGCACGGTTTAATTTCTTGATTCTCTCTCTTTCCGCACAGAGAGAGAGAGAGAGGCAGGGTCTCGAGGGTGGAATCAAGAACGCCAAAAAAAAAAAAATCTCACGAAATGCTGAAAGAGGATGGAGAGAGAGGATCGGAAAAAAATATATAGACGGCCGGGCACACGCGTCGAGAGCGTGGATTTTAATTGCCGTTGCATTCGTTTGCGGAGCATATTTATCTATCTGTATGGGTAGATTCTTGATGCGTTTCCTAAACTACTCCATGAAACATGACCAGGAATGACTATTAGTTCATGAAAGCCTTTCCTATTTTCAGGCTTAGATTATTAACAAGTTCGCATTTTTAATTCCTAAAATTACAAGATTTAATAAAGAAAAAACTTCTTAAATGTTACTATTAATACTTTTTTAACAAGTTATTTATATCTAAAGCCATTTTTCCAGATGAATGGCGTCTAGCTCACAAGATAATTCCGATCGAGCACATATCATGTGTGATTAGTTTGTTGCAGGCTTGTTTGATGATATGTATTTTGCCAGGCTAGTTCATTTTCAAAATAAATTTTAATGAAGCCCCTTCGCAAATGCCAACGGCTTTCTTAAGAAATTGTCACCATAAGTCACTTGCTGGAATAATTCCTGTTTTATTTTGGTTGATAATTTGATAATAGGATGGGAGTAATGATGCCAAATATACACGAGAACTAAAAGAGTGGAAGATGAAGATCCTGCCAGAGTGTCCCAATGGCTATGATCGACGACGAAGATTAATTAGCCAAACCGTTTGAAATTGAAAGAGTTGTCATAGTGGTTCCTGAAACTGCTTAGCTTGGCGACGCAAACGGCAGTGGTGTTTTTCTCTGTACGTAATTTGGCAATCCTTGTATGTCCATGCAAGAACTGATGGACACTCCTGAGGAGTCTATGCATTTAAAAAAAATCAGCTTTTAAGGGGTCTATTTCTTACTCAATCACAGCAGTGCGTGTGTGTGTGTGTGTGAAGATTATTAGAAATTCTCACAGCTGTGATAGCAGTTATAGCCTGCAAAACTCATTATTTACTATCACAACTGCTGAAAACAGCTGGTTTTTCGTCAAATTAATAACACTAGCGTAGTTCCATCGGATAAATGTACTCTGCTGTGCACGGAAAATTGGAGTCAGGCCTGCATCAGCTCACTCAAGTTTAATTTGCAACATAACACAACTCAACCGTGTTACATTCGGAAATCCTCTTTGTTGTTTTCAATAATAATGTCGTTTCTTGATGGATAACTAGTATTAAGATTCACACAAAAAACTGGAAGAAATTAATCTCAACACTTATGTCCATATACCTAATCCAGTACGTGAAAGCTAAAAATGACAGACATTTACACAACAGTACGTTCGTGATATGTTATCCTCCTCACCATGAATTCTGTCAAACAGATATTTACATATATAGCTCTTCAAACCTTGACAGATGGAGAGCCTACATTTTCAGCTCCTTGCAGTTAATTGATTGATTGATTAAAACAAAGAGAAAGGCTTCCATCCTATAGGAACCGAGAAGTTCCTATCAGGCAGGGTCATCCTTCCTGAACCCTGGTTGGGCAAAAACTGAACCCTCAATCCCTCACAATGAGGACTCATGTCCACGTCAGAAACCCAGGTCTCCCCGTAGTAAATTGCCTCCACGTTCATCTGCATTCCGAAGTTCAGAGACCCATCTCTCGCCCTATCTTTCCCTATCTGCTCCGCCAGCGAACTCTCCACGAACGGCTCATTCTCGTCCCACGCGCCCCCGCTCGTCGTGAACTTCAAGTGCAGTTTCACCGCCTCTCCCTCGTCCAAGTAGAATGGGTTCAACGACACGCCCGAGAGAGCGTCTTCTGGGTTGTCGTTGTAGAATATGATGAAGTCCGTATATTTGAAATAGATGGACGACACATTGGCATTCATCACCGTCAACTTGGCATCCCAGGTGGCGCTCAGGGTCCCGTTTGCGGCCGTGAAGTTCGAAACATACATGGAATTGAGGGTAAAAAGAGGAGGAATAGGATCCCCCGAAGGCGATTCCATGCGCTTGTACAGAGGCGAGAAGATTAGCATTAGCAGTACAGTCAGGCCGAGAAGGTCTTGAGCCGTTTCTGTGTTGCCATTAATGTTCACCTCATTCTGCGTTTCGTCGGAATAATAATCAGTGTGGGGCCTCGAGTATTCGACAGAAATCGACAGGGGAAGATCTCGATCTTCACTAGAGTGACCGTGGTCTGGTTCAGAACATTCAGGCAATGGTGAAAACTTAACATCATGATCTCTCTCGTTTTGGGGTTCTACGTTGCCGTTCGCGCAATTCCTTGTTTCATTATCTGAGGAATCGCTGTCGGTGGTGGACGTCGACAAAGGCTGATCTTGATCATCGTCGTCGTCACGGGTCCGAGCTCGATCTGATTCAGATTGAGGCAGAGGTGAATAATCGTGACCTCTCTGATCATTTTGCGTTGGAGGCATGTTGCTGAAAAGAGGAATGGGAGGCAGCGGGGGAAAACAAGTTTCCGGAATGTACAGATATTTGTGGTTGGGAGAAAAGGAAGAAGGCTTGTAATATATCCCAGCGTTTCACATCTTCTGAGGTGTCCACTTATTATAATTAGTTTGATTATTTATTTAGTAGTCTTTATATGTTTATTGTATTTAATAATTTCTGGTAAATGCATGAATCGTTGAGCACTCATGCAGCCAAGAGCTAGACCCAATTCGTTGGCAAGTGAAAAATAGCGTTTAGGATAATGATTCCAACAGCAGCTGTGATGCGGATTTTGCCCTTGCCATTTGCCGAATATAGATTGGAAAGAACAACTTTAAGAATGTAACGGTACTCTTCTTTATACGTTGATTTGATGATGACGATGACTTATAAACAATTATATTATCCTGTTTTCTGTAAATGTATTAGATATATAAATATTTATGTTGTTGGGCGAAATTCAGGTTGACCCCATAGCGTGGGCACATATTTGTGCGCATGTCTTCCTTCAATAGTGCGGTCTTGGGGCAAAATAGATGTGAAGCTGTAATTAAGAATATAAGTAATTAGCTTTATCCATTAGAAAAATTGCAACAAGGTCCCAGAGAATTAAATACAAAAGTTCTCTTAAAATCATCAAATTGATCTAAAATCTCAAGGGACCTCATTACAAAATATTGCACTTGTTTAATTACTGAATTGCCTTTATCATTGACAATTGAAAGAGCAGTCATCAACAACTTAAGAAGTGCAACTCATGCATTATATTTTTGTGATGCATTAAGAAAATATATTGTCAATACCTACCACGATAGTTATTAATTGTCATATCTTAAGTCGTTAATAATTACTCTTTCAATTGTCAATACATATTAAAAAAAAAGATAAAAGTAATTTAGTAATTAAATAAATAGAATCCTTATAATGAAGTCTCTTAAGACTTCAGATTAATTTAATGATTTCAAGAAAAAAATTTATTTGATTCCCTTAGATGAAACTTTACTACAATTTTTCCTATTCATTTTGCCCCGCCCCTGGAGTGATGAAGAACAACTTGTTGGATGGCTGATGAAGAATTAACGCCTCTTCAAGTTGGTAGATACCAACAAATTATCAAATGTATATATGAAAACATTAAATAAAAACTAACAAAAAGATAGATAAAAATATAAAATAACGTAATAACTTGGGTCACTATTTAAAAAAAAAAAAAGACTTGACCAACAATAAATATTCGGACTGAATAGTCTAAATTATGGAGACAATTAGTAATCTTTTAAATTCTTTTCCAAACATATAAATTGATAATTTTGTGGTGAGTAAAATTATGATGTATTTACTTATGATGAAATAGAGGCTTGAAATTAAAGAGATAGGTGAAAATCAAATCATAATTTTAGAAGTGGTTAAAAAAAATTGTCTTAACCTACTTGAAATCACTTTTTATAATGTAAACCAAACACTCCCCCAGAGTAACTTCAATTATTAATTATATATAAATATGTAGAGTTTAAACGTAAATGTTATTATTGGGGGAAAAAAGAAGAAAGAAAGAGGTGGGAGGAGGATAAAAGGGCAAAGGAGAGTTTGCGTTCCCAAAAAAACAGTTCAGAGAAAAAAATAAGTTAATGTTGAACACAAATCTTAGAATATGTTCTTCAAAATGAAAATTAAAGGAAGTTACATATTCATATACGTCATCCAGTATAGGTACAAACAGAATATAAGTAATTAGCTTTATCAATTTTGCCTTGCCCTTGAAACGATGGAAAACAACTAGTCGGATGGTTGATGGAGAATGAACGCCTCTTCAAATTAGTAGATACCAACAAATTATCAAATATATATAAACATTAAATAAAAACTATCAAAAAGATAAATAAAAATATAAAATAGCAAAAAAAAAAAAAAGACCTGACCAGTAATAGATATCCGGACTGAACCATAAGCTCATGATTTCTGATTGAATTGACCGATCCGATCCAACTCTCACAATTGAATTTAATGTTTATAATTAAACCAGTCATGAAAATTATAATTTAATAGATAATATATGCAGTCTAAACATATAAATTGATAATTTTGTGGTGAGTAAAATTACTGTGTGTATTTACTTATGATGAAATAGAGGCTTGAAATTAAAACTAACTTTAATTATTAATTATATATCAATATGTAGCGGTTTTAAATCAAATATCGGCCATTCAAACGTTAATCTTATTATCCCAAAAAAAAAAAGGTGGGAGGAGGATGAAAGGGGCAAAAGAGAGTTTGCGTTTCTCATAAAAACAGAGAAGGCATGAGGCCCTTCGATGGCGCACGTGAGGTGAGATTCAGGTGGGGCCCGTACATCCCCCGTTTCTTTTGTAGGCCGAGAAAATGCAGGCGCCTCCGAGGCTCCGACCAATACTTAATTTATCTTTAAAAAGTTAGTCGAAATTTAATTTTATTATAAATATAAGACATTAATTTATTTTATCTTT